ATGCACTTTAACATGCATGTTTTTAATTAGTATTTAGTATCTAGAAGTCTAGTGCTTTTTAGTACTTTTTATTCCCTAGTAATGTTGATCTGGTAGTTGAGTTAATTTAGTATTCTAGTGATTTTGGAAGATACTGTGTTAACTGTAGTGTATGTTGCGTGTAATGTCTTAAGCTGCTGGGACCTTGAATTTCCCGTTGGGGATCAATAAAATATCTATCTATCTATCTATCTATCTGATTTTTGTTGGTATTCCAATGGAATTCCTCATTGACCTGTTGAAGAATTTGGAATAGCAAATACAAATCTTCGGAAAAAAGTCATACAATTTCAAGACCATCCTAATTTAAAGAATTCCTTTAATTCACAGAAGAAACTGTATTTAGAAAAGAAACAACTTATGATATAGTCTTTGCTCAGCTTCTTACCTCAGCTTCTGGCCACCCCAGAACATCTGACATCATAGGTTCTAGCTCAATGCCATTGAAAGTTGGTCCTTAAGGGCCTCTGCCCTGAAGGTTTAAGAAGTTTCCCTGCCTAAACATAATGTACAGCAATCATGATATAATTAAGAAAAATATGTTTTAGCTATTTAAATACACCAATCTTTAAGAAGCTTTCAGTCATACTGGAAACACAAACAATATATATTGCAAAATGGATTGTAGAGTGGCTAAAGTGGCTGCCAGTGGCAGCAATCAGCTGCCTCACAGAACTCTAACAGCTGCTGTGTCTGTGTGGGAGTATGCGAACACTTACACACAATCTTCACAAACCAAACTTTTAATTTCCTGTCTAATATTAATATCCGTGAGATGAACACACATTTATTCTGCAGTGCCATTATCTTCAGCTGCTGTGTTGCTTTGAAGATCTGAGCTCCTGATGAATACATAACCTAAGAAAAAAGAATCAGGGCAAAGGATCAAACAAAACATACCTATTTCCACTGAATGGAAACAATAAATGTGAATAAGGGGTTACACAAAGGCTGTAATATTGCTCTGTCTTTTAGGCAAAACAATAGATTTCTAATGAATATGAATCACTATTAATTGATTGTCTAGCTACATTTGCTCAATATAACAGATATATAACTTATTTCTTATTTCTACATGATTCTATGTGTGTTCTAAAACCATGTTTATATATTTGCTCCCCATTGTGATACTCGGTTTGAACTACAGCAGATTGTCTAGAGTCTAGACCATATCCACATGCCTAAGTGCATTGAGTTGCAGCCATGTGATTATGTCTCTATACAGTCAGACAAGATGTAGAAGCTCTATGGGGTGGCAGTGTCTTTTACAATTTCTCCAGCAGCCAATCTTGATAAAATGTACAGTATCCACAATGTCTTTGCAGCCAAGCAACTGAATTTATCAGAGCATTCCCAACAAGTTGCCACATTCCAACAGATATATAGACATCTGTAAGGTTTCGCATGCCCTCCTTGAAACATAGTCCATCCTATGTTGCTGACTGGTTCCAAGTCTACCTCATTACACCTATAGAGCCAATCAAATTAGGACTACCGGTTGGGCCAGAAGCCCAAACTCAAACAAACACTACAGGGTTCAGTTCCAACCATTGAATCCGTCACTAACGTAAGTCACTGCCTCTTCACATCTGCACCATCTATTCTCATGTTTAGAGAAGATATGGAAGATGGATGTCCACCCTTACTGTAGTGGATTCCAGAAACACGTCACGGTCATCCAGCTGTGAGTTGTGGCTCAGTTAAGGTCAGTCCTACCTCCAAGAGCCAGCTCTTGGACCACACCCTCACTTACAAACATAGACACATTGATTGCTTAGTTGCTATTATAGGAACATCTATATAATTCCAGCTAGCCAGTATGCCCCTCTTGGCTACATAGTCCATTACACCACCAGAGCTAAAGTCCTTGTGCACCTCCTGTGGTACAAAAAGAAGGATTGGGATGACCAACAACTCCTTGATGAGATCCTGCAAAATTGGCATGTATGGGAAGCAGCGCTGGCACAGAGGCACAAGATAACAATGCTCCGGTGCTACATCAGTCCTAGCCTGGACTAACCTGACTCTAAAAGAGACATCCATGTGTTCTGTGATACCTTTGAGCAAGCATATGGATCAGTGGCTCATCTTTGGACAGAGAGTATAGAGGGAGAAGTTGAGGTTGCCTTCCTTTCTGCTCGATCTTGTGTTTCCCCTGAGAAGCAACAATTTTTTCCTTAGAGTTGCGCACTGCTCTAACAGCCCTAACTGCTCAGCTCTACAAGGCATTAGCACTGAGTTAACCCTTCCCCTTCAGGGCTGCATTTTGTGGTCTGACTCAGCCACAGTCCCCTGGTTGGGTTCAGACTCCTGCAAATACAAAGTCTTTATGGGCAGAAATACAAGAGATGACAGAAGCTGTCACATGGTGTTACGTGCCCTCATGAGACTACCCTACAGACGACATCACTCGTGGCCTCACTATCCAAAAATCAGTTAGACAGCAGATGGAGAGATGGAACAGTATTCCTGAAACTGGCTCCAGGTAGCTGGCCTGATTTACCCCTTCCACCCCAGAGTGAACCTGAGGGTGAGCTGGAATGACAGGTTTCTTGTCTTACTATGACCAGCCATAAGGTTCCAGATCTATGCCAGTACTACACTTGGGACAGCTTCTTGGAGGCCACTGCACACCAGCATCACAGAGCGGCTGACCACAACCACCCTCTCACCGCTGATTCCTACGCTGCTGCAGAGCTAGAAGCGCTACAATCTGCCCAAAGAGAGTCATTCTTTGAGGATATCACCCAGTTAAAGGCCGGCAAATCCATTTCTAAATTCAGTTTTTTTCTATTAGCACCTGAATCTGATGAGAAAAATAGGGTTCATCAGAGTTGGAGGCACATTGTTGACCTGGCTGTTGATTAAGTCCATTCTTCTGGACTTCAGAGATGCTTTAGACCAACTTATCATACAATATTTTAATAGTAAGCTTGAGCATCCCAGGCCAGAAAGGTTGTTTACTGAGATGCAACTTATTCCAAGTTCTATCTGTACCCACAAAGGCGATTTGAACCTTCCACTGTGGTCACCAAACAAAATGTTTTTTGATTTTCCACTTCACTCACCAACTCATTGATTTCTGCCATGATGAAATTGTGTTTCTTTGCTTTTTTCTGTGGTTGCCATTGTTAACCATGAAATAACATTGATCATCTGGCAATTTAAATACACAATGACATTAATGAGGTGCCTTGCACTCACCATTCATGGTTGAATGTGAGCATGTAGAGGGCAGATTTTGGGACACATTTGTAGACAAGGTAGACAAGGTTTAGCTGTTATTTTATAAAGGAGAAATTGTGTGCTTGTGTGCATACGCATGGTTTAATAAATATTTTTTTTTAGTGGAAAGCATTTTCACTTTTTAGGCGTACGTACACTTTTATTAGAGATTCTACGTTTGAGATCCCAGATCTTAGTTACAGTGGGAATTCAGGGACCTAAAAATCACAAAACAATTTATATTAATGTTTATGTATTTAGCAGACGCTTTTCTCCAAAGGAATCTACAAAGCAAATACAATATGGAATCAGAGGAATCAGAAGAATGCCTTTTATTGCCATTATACACAAGTATGAGGAGAGACTCCAAACAGTGCAGAAATATCAAAGTCATATACACCATAAACATTAGGAGGTTAGGTGCACAGTCATGGGTGTATGTACATTGCAGAAATAAAATATATAGCCATATAAAATAAAATATCTGAGTGCACATTGTAGGGTAGAAAAACTGTATTATTGGACATAAGAAGGGGCTCTGCACTAGTCATTGTGGGGACCAAGGTGTAGTTTTATAGTCTGTGATCGGTTAGTTAGAAAGTTCTTTATCCAGTCACATGTGACGGGGTAGGATGAGAATGTCCAGTTTTGTAATGATGATGTCTGGAATTATTGTATTGAGAAAAGAGCATCCTTACGTAGCTCTTCCGCTGCTCAAGATGGCTCAGCGTAGAGCGGGGAGCTACTGCCAAGGCGTCGTCTATTTGGATCTGTTTGCACAGTATGCTAACCCGTGAGGGTCAAGGTCCTGGTCATCATAGTCCTTGATGTGTTGAAGAACCTGTCTCTCGAAGTTCTTCATGATAACCGGGCCACCGTATGGTAATCGTTCAGGCTGGTGATGGGAGCCTTCTTCGACTCTGGGATTATTGAAGCTGATTTGGGGCTGCGTAGGATGAATGCCTGGTCTAGGGAGAGGTTGTAGATCTCACCGAAGGTGGGGGTAAGCTGGTAGGCGCTCGCTATGGGCACCTTGCCAGGTACTCCGTCTGGATCGGCAGCTTTCTTTGGGTTCACTGCCAGGAGAAACCCGACTGACCTCATGCTCCTGCACACTGAGTGGAGTGGAGCAGGAAGGTGGTGGGGGCAGGGCTGCAGAAGATGAGTGCTGAGATGTCTCAAAGCTAAAAAAGATGTAATTCAGCTCCTCTGCCAGCAGCGCACTCAGGTCTCCTGTTGACACATCACAGGTTCGGAAGTTTGTCTTTCTTTTAGGCCTAGCCACACCTCCCTTGTGTTGTTGCTAGCTAGGTGGGACTATGTGCATCATGGAGGATGGCTGTACTCCTGGATCTCACAGGAGGAGCTGGACAGTGTTGTGGGGAAGAGGGGTATGTAGGTTTATGTCCTGAAATTTTACCTACTCTTTTTCATGTTCCTATTATTTCCTAATGTGAATTTTTTTAATGTTTTTTTCATAATGTAATGTAATTTCTTCATGAGAGGACCCCAGGAAGACTAGTGGCCATTTATTTGGCAGCTAATGGGGATCCTAATAAAGCTTAACAAACTAAACCTGAGCAAACTAATTTGAATCAGTAGAAGAAAAGGGATTGATTGAACTAAGATTTGAAAACCAATCCATGTGAGATAGACACAATCAGTGTCTTCCGATACACTGCAGTAGACAAGTGCTCAAAAAAGTAAAGTCATGTAATAAAAAAGGTTCTATTCCAACTCAAAGACACCCATCATCCTATGTGGAAGTCATTATGCTGGGGCATGTTTCTTCTACCTGAACATATAACCATAATTCATTCTACTTTATGAAGCCTTACTTGGGTAGGATTTATTTCTCAGCGAGATTGAATGGGTTAATATTACCTGCCTTGGCCTGTGATTTTAATTACTCTGTGAGCTGTATATGAGTCATTTTTCACCAGTAATGAAGCTGAAATGACCTCATGTTTTTCAGTAAAATGGCTGTCATGCTTTAAAGTGAGTGTCTCTGGAAGGTCTTATTAAATAATAATTAAAAAAATAATTCTGGCAATTTCACGGAAGCCTGTTAAAACAATCCACTCTATTTAGGAATGATAACAATTTAGAAAGAATCTAAAGAATGAGAATTGATCAAAAAATGTTTGAGTCACTTTGTTCTTTACAAACAACTGAGGGCAATGCTCATTATTTGGATGAATCTTTCAGTATCCTTCCCATTAAAACAATAAAACAATTCTGATTTAACTCTATCAAGTTCCTGTTTACAATTATAGAAAGATGTGCAATCATTAGTATTATTATAAATCTATTTATAGTAACAAGTCACCCATGATCAAATAAACTAAAAATGCAAAGCAGTAATCTCTGGGATCAAGATGAGATTTTTTGTTGTTGGAGATTTTTGTCTCGCAATTTCTTTTCTTTTTGTTGTTGTTAGAAGTTATATTTCCACTCAAGTTCCAGATGCAACCAAAGAGGGCAGAAGAGTTCAGCTAATCTCCTCCCAGCTGCTGTGCCTCTTTCAGCACACGCTTTCCCCCCCATCGGCCCACTCCTCTCCCCAACTCCCGCTCCGGGCTTTATCTCCAGCCACTTTAGATCAATGGCTCCATTCTGAGTCCGGGTCTCTTTACCCGCTCTCTCTCTCTCTCTCTCTCTAGCCATATAGATCCACAGAGAAGAGAGAGAGAGAGAGAGAGAGAGAGAACGGGTTCGACTCTAGCTCCCCCTCCTCTCCTACCCGGCAGACGGAGCAGACCTCCGGAAAGGCAGCGTGGATGCGTTTTTACGCGCCTGTGCGTGAATGAATGGGAACCAGCCGCGCGCCCGAGTGATGGAGAATCCCGGAACTTATTTTCAGTCCCTCTAAAAGTAGGAAACTGTTTCCCTGTTTAGTTGTTTTTTTTAATCTTCCTTCCTGTTTTTTTTTTTTTTTTTTTTTTCTTTTTTTTTTTTTTTTTCTTGTTGGAGAGCCTTGCCCAACCAGGGGGACCAGGGTAACCTTTTTTGGGGGGAGGTTGTTTTACCCCCCTCCCTCCCCTTCTCCTCTCTTACCATTTTCCCCTTTTTTCCAAAACCCCAATTGTTTGCTTTTTTTTTTTTCTCTTCTTGAAACTGACAGCTGGATTGTGTGGAAGGGGGGTTAACCGTAAATCCAAAGAAACATCTGGATTGGATCTTGTCTCCGGCACAGCGGGACTGGGAAACGGCGCGGCATGGAGCTGGTTTCGGTTGGATGTACTGGGGATATTTGGGGGGAACTGCCTCGGAGGAGAAGGAGGACGGGAGGGCTCTACCTGCTGCTGCTCCTCTGCTGGCTGCTGGGAGCGCGCGCCACAGCGCACGGTGAGAGGGAGGGGAGGGTACAATCTGGTTAATTGCTGCCTCCAATCCCGCAGGATGTGCGTGTGCGCGCTTGGAGGTTGCCGGTTCTGCTGGTTTCTGTGTGTGTGTGTGCGTGTGTGTGTTTGTTGAAATGGGATCCAAAAGGGGTGCCATGGTCGGTGTCAAGGGGGCTCGTGCGTGATCAGGCTGTGTTGGCTGGGGAGCTTCACTGGGTGTGAGGAGACTCAACTGGCATTCAGAGGGCGATCGGTTTTCGTTGAGCCCCCCCACCACACACACACACACACACACACACACACACACATCATTTTACTGATTGTTTGTTGCAAATATGCGCATCTCTAAACGGAGTTGTGTATGGGAATGGGTGCTCGCCAGGTTTTGCTTTGCTGGGTTACAGGAGCTTTAGTCAGGTTTTGTTGGGTTACTGGAGCTTTAGTCTGGTTTTGTTGGGTTACAGGAGCTTTAGTCTGGTT